CCTCCCGCCCCCGCCCCCCGCCCCCACCCCGCGGACCAGCGCCCGCGCCGCGTCGCGACGGCGCCCATCGCCGCGACGTAACTGTTCAAAGAATTCAGTCAAGGTTACTATGCCACGGATTCCACGACTTGACCTCAACCAAAGTCAACTTCCCTCCGCCTCTCTTCCTTTCTTTACTTGTACTTTCTTCCTTGCTCCTTTCTCCGTTTCGCATTCCCGAGGCCCTTTCTACTCTCTCTCTCACCGAGTTCGAGCCCATCCCTCCCCAAACTTGTTCTTCCTCCTCGCCTCCTGTGTATTACCGCAGTTTATGCGGCATCTCCACTCGGCGTCCCTCCCCTCGGTTACACGGCCGGCATGACGCAATTCTTTCATGTAACGGAGCATGACCGGTAGCGGCGAGCGTTGAACTCTCCTTCAAAGCCTCGATTCTTCTTATGAAATTCTTCCAATGAACGGAAAAAAGTTATCGTTAGTATGATAGTATTTCCGGGTAAAAATATATTCGGGAAATTAAATGTGTAACCCATGTGTTCGTTACCGTAAATTTGAAAGGTTTATGTACTTTTGACCCTGATTTGATGCTTCTGAAAAGCGTGGAAAATTCTTCAAATGGTAGGGAAAAAAGTCATATTTGCAATAAAGAATTTCCATAGACAAATATAAGCTGAATATTCAATGTACAAGTGCCTCAAAGACCTCGAATCGCGCTTAAAAAAATGTTAGGATGTTGAGAAAAAAGCAGCTGTCCTCTGTAATAGTTTGTATCGAATTAAACAAGCACGTAAGGTCAATTACACTTGTGAGCTTGTTTTTGTGAACTTATAACAGAAATATCCAGCTTTCCGGCATTTACTTCAACTTTCATTCCCCTGGTGTCTGGCCTATAAGGTCGATGTGCTCGTGACCTGCTTAACCCTACACACATTTTAGCCGCTTTGATCATTAAAATTGGGGCAAACGACGCGAAAACGCTGCATTCTTTCTTAAGGCTGAAAATCTCATCAACTTCTTCTTACCTCTTAAAATACCTCTGTAAATGTTCTTCTATCTTCTTACTTTGTTCTAAAAAAAAGTTATCATAGTAATTTTCCAGCATAGATCCATCGCTATGTTTGTCTGTCTGTCCAGTATTAACGATCCATGCACAATTGAATAAAAAATTGCAACTTATTCCAATTTTATTGCAATAATATTCAGGAGGGAGTGCTTTTTCAATCAGTAGATGGGCGGAACGCACAATGCTTAGCTCCAGTAGCAATAAGTTTACTGCGTAATTGCAGTTTATTGCAATCTGTGCTACTTGGGAACGCGAGTGCCTTTTTTTCAAGCTGAGCAAGAGATATTTTCCTCAGGTGCTGGTTTTTATTTTCAGCGGTCTAGTCCCCCCCCANAAAAAAAAGAAAAAAAAAAGAGAAAAAAAGAAAAAAAAACACGACTTGGATATACAATAGCTCTCTCCAAGCAGAAACTAAATCTCCGAATTCTCCGATGTATGCTAACTCAAATTTCCTCGTGTGTTGCAGCTTTGGCATTCTGCGACTGGTCCTACGTGCAAGAAACACGACGAAAACTGGCCCGACGCTTCTGCTCGCCGAAGACAGCCTCGAAGAATTGCGACCTGCTCTACACCGTAGGCTTCCACGAGGCCCAACTCTTCCTGGACGAGCTCAACCACGAGCTGGAGGAGAGCCCCGTCGTGGACATCAAGCCCCTGGTGATGCGCGCCTGCGCCAACATGTTCACGCAGTACATGTGCAGCAAGCGCTTCGCCTACCAGGACAAGGACTTCCAACGGATGGTGCGGAACTTCGACGAGATCTTCTGGGACGTGAACCACGGCTACGCGGTGGACTTCCTCCCGTGGCTCCTGCCGCTCTACAAGGGGCACATGTCCAAGCTCTCCGGCTGGGCTCAGGACATCCGCGAGTTCCTCTTGGCCAACATCGTCGACGAGCGGGCGGCCAGGATCAACGCGACCAAGGACCCGGAGGCCGAGGACTTCACCGACGCGCTTCTCATCCACCTGAAGGAGGACCCGGTCCTCACTTGGGAGCACGTCATGTTCGAGCTGGAGGACTTCATCGGCGGCCACTCTGCCGTCGGGAATCTCGTCATGCTCTGCCTTGTGAATATTATCAAACACGAGGAGGTTGCCGCCAAAATCCGTAGCGAGCTCGACCGAGTCACCGGGAGATCCAGGAACGTGGACCTTTTCGATAAACCGCGGCTGCCGTACACCGAGGCCACTATTTTTGAGACCCTCCGCGTGGCGTCGTCTCCGATCGTGCCGCACGTCGCCACCGAGGACACTGAGCTTGCTGGTAAGTTCATTCACACATAAAAACAATGTTTCCACAATACTGCCGTGGTAAGGAAAAACACCGTGTGAACTTTCAGGCGTTGCCAAATTTCTTTTGATAAAACACGATTTTCCTAGTAAACTTATGAATATTTCGCTTCCAACTTTTTAGATAATTTTGTTCGCAATTTCATCTAAAGCTCCTGGAAATTTCAAGGAAACATATTCATACCATTTCTCAAAAATAAACATTTTATCTGAGGAAATTTAGCAACTGTCGAATGTTTATACGGCGTTCCTCCTTAGCAGGGCGGAATATACGTGATATACCCTTATGCCGAACAGGGCCGGATTAAGGGGGTGGCCACATGGGCCGCGGCTCACGGCGGCAAATCTAAAGGGCGGCAAAAATTTGCAATTTTTTAAAGTGTAGGTATAAAAAAATCGGATTTATACAAACAAAATTACAAACGAGAAAGGGCGACAAAATATCTCATTTCCTGAGAGTATAGTAATTTCTAATTTTGTCGTTTCTTAGTGATACAAGAGACAGCACCCTCAGTAAGTTGAGTTACGAGAGAAATCAAACACACAATTTGGCCTAGAACGGCGCGACTTTGAGAGGAATGATAACGAGGACTTGAGATGAAAAGGAGAAGCCCTCGGTGCGGCGATCGGCATGTAACACATATTAGCGCCTACAAGACTGCACGAATACTTCACGCATTGCATCCAACACAGTGCGGTCATTGCGGTCAGCGTGAAACGGATAGCGCCTACAAGAATGCAGGAATACTTCACGCATTGCGGCAAACACAGTGCGGTCAGCGTGAAACGCATAGCGCCTACAAGACTGCGTGAATACTTCAAGCATTGCGTCCATCACGGTGCGGTCTGCGCGGCGCGGCAGTGGAAGTTAAAATCATTGAACCACATTTATGTGTGTTCTTTCATAATTTTTTCGTTCATTTCTTATGAATGGAAGGCCTTGTCCACACAGAGATAGGTTTACGGAACTTCACTTTCGCGCAAAGTTTCGTAAACTTTTGCTAGTAGTATTGACAGGGCTTTCCCGAAAAATGTGTTCAACGCGAGTAAATGCGTCTTATGCACCCCTCCTCCGCTGGCACGATCATTTGATGGTTTTTATCTAGTTTCAAAACGAATGAAAAGGGGGCGGAAAAATATAAGCGGCCCATGGGCGGCAAGTAGGTTAATCCGGCCCTGATGGCGAAACCGCCCTGTCCGCAGACTGGGCAACTTTTTTGTCCCGTCCGTGGGCAAGTCACCCCCATTGCCCAGTCCGCGAAAAGGGCCGATGTTCTAGCCCATTCCATGAACTGGACAGCTGCTCCATGAGGTAGCCGGGCAAAAATCTGAAAATCACGCAAACGGGCAAGTCGTTAATTTAAATGTGGCCGTATGCTCATCGAGGAATGTCCCCTCTGATGGACCTCTGACGAATTATTCGCGATATTTTGAACGAAACTTAAAAGCATCATAACAATTTATAAATGTAAATAAATTTTAAAACTTATTTTGTATTTTTGATGATTTTGCCGCCTTACCTCGTTTGTAATTTTTCCCTGAATTCGAATTTTTTTTTTATACTTATGTCTAAAAAAGTAAAAATCGCAAAATTTGCCGTCATGGACCGCGGCCTATGTGCCCCCGCCCCCTAAATCCGGACGAGGTGTTACTAGATAGTGAGCCAGGGAGGCCAGAGTATCTACAGCCAATAATTGAATCGGTCATTCTTCAACAGACTGAAGCGCCAGAAATGAAAACACAAGAAAAACATCAGAAACTGTAGTAATGAACCCGCATTGAATCATAGGCTATTGTATAATGTGAATTTCATTCGCCTTAATATTTCAGAGCTTTGAATTTTAAAAAGGACCGATTAAAACGTTTTCACTGTTTTTCTCATAGTATTCAATCTCTTAATCATCTTTAGAATGACCAATTCAAATTGATGAGTATATCTTGACCTACGAGTATTAAACTGATCGTGAGTTGGTTGTGGCGTCATGATGCAACTATTCGTGATCCACGGATAAGCGTGTTGCATGTTCAAAATTGAAGGCGCATTCCGGCCCTCTGCCGCTGCTGAAACCTCACCAGTAAGTAAATATTCATGAGGTTCTGTTCTGTTTCAGGTTACGCAGTGCCGAAAAATACGGTGGTCTTTGTGAATAATCTGGACTTCAACCTAAGCGAGGAGTATTGGGAGGATGCAGCCGCTTTCAAACCAGAGAGGTTCATCAACGATAAAGGAGAGGTGGTGAAACCAGCTCACTTCATTCCGTTCAGCACGGGCAAACGCACTTGTATCGGACAAAAGTTGGTCTTGGGCTTTAGCTTCATTCTCCTAGCCTCGATCGTTCAGCACTTCGACATCGGGCCATCTCCAACGAGACCTCCGAAGGCTATCCCCGGCATGGTAGCCCTCCCTCCCGAGACATTCTCTCTCACGTTCGTGCCAAGGAGTGGTGCTCAGTCAAACTAAGGACCATCCAACTCATTGACGTGTACAATAATTTTTCCAAAAAGGATCGTTTCCCAGCAGATTGAACCAACACATACGTTCTTTTAGGACCAAAAGAAAATTCAATTTATGTTCGTGACGAAGTGGTCTCGATCCCACGATTTTTCGAAATGTAAGTTGGCTCTCTTTGCAGAATGCGGTTTTCAGGAGTTATGTTTTAAGGCGTATGAACGTTTTGTTTGACTGCTGCCAAAGATGCGTGCACTTTGTATTATATGCGCAATACGCATGCAGATTGAACGCTAGTCGTGAAAAGCCTTCCTCCAGATACCCACTGGGGTAGAATCACGAAGAAGGGTTTGGCGAGATACCTATAAAGCACTTTCACCCAAATCTCATATAGCGTTAAATGTTAGTCGCCACCCGGGCACATTGTTTCGAGATTTAAATTAAAGGAAGGATCTCTTTTTCTAATTTCTGTTGATTTTTCGACCGTAGTAATCAGCCAATCATTTGTTTCGTTATTTGCGTTTTTTGTTAAATTCTTATTTATATGATTGTTTCGAGGTCTATAAGAATTATTATGTGCTGCTGTGTACCGAGCTGTTCATTTCAACGGTTAAACGTTTGTCTTAAGAGGGCGAGAAACGAATTATTTTTAATGCTTTTAGAACTTCAATCATCTATCGTGTAACGCCTAAAAATGATCTAGCGAAATTCCTCGCGAACAGAGAAAATGCGGTTGCGAAACTTCTCTCTGGTTTAACCTTCTAATTTCCAGAAAAATTTAAAGGTGGGTGCCCGCAGACCAACGAACTACATCCGTCAACATGTTTTTGTGATTCGCGACAGGTCTTGTTTACTTTGCCACAAGGTGACAGGTGAGAGTCAGCCGCCACGGATTAGGTGCTCAAGAAAGTCGCATTTTTCTTCTTCTTTCTTCTTCATCAGTGTGTAAAAGTTAAATCTAGTCAACCGAAGGGAATCTTCAAAGACGGCAGCGCCGCGGCGCGAATATTTCATTGCTAGAATCTTGTGAAGATCTTATAATGTTCCTTGGGTTTCTCATATACTTATTGAAAAAAAAAAAAAATGATGCTGTTCGGAGTAGATGGCGATATCCAGTGCGACCATGTAATATAGAATAATCGGAGCAGGTCATTAATAATTTGATGAAACTTTTGGAGCTAAGTCAGTAGCAAGTGAATAAAATGGAAAAAATAGGAGGAACAAAAAACTCGAGGCGAAATACCGACGTTGATGTATATTCAAATTAGGTCTGATAAATGGGTTCTCCTCCCCTTGGTCCTCGCATTTTCGATAAATTTTCGGATATTTTTTTTTTCGGGAGCCAAACAATGTGGATAATGAAGTTCCTACACTGTCAACGTGTGGTTTTACCTGGGGTTTGCACCATTGCCACGCTGGAAGAGGAAAATGTAATATTGAAGTCATGTATGGGAGTAACGGGCATATTGAGGATCCGTGATTCAATCTGACAACGCTGATATCCTAATCGGGGGGAAGGTTTTTGAATGAGGTTTGCCCCGATTCAGCACTTATCGATCCGAAATTGATCGACAATCAACCTTGGAAGCGGCATCAAATTAATTAACCCTTTCATTGTAAGATTCGTCTTGGATGGTCCTCGGTCTGTTGCTAGGGGCGACTCGTTGGCCACGTCTCGGCCAATAGCAATCTCCATGCAGTGCTTGAAATCAGTTGCTCAGCTCCTAAGTTCCTCTTGCCCCCTCCCTTTAATCATCATCATTTTCTGTGTTGCCAACTCTTCGAAAGAGTTTCCGTACACAGGCAATCATCCCTCTTGCCCACTTCGGAAACTGAGGAGAATGCTTGATGCCTATCGAAAAATATATTATCTGACATTTTTAAAATCCTATTACTTCCTTTCAATTTGTATTAAATTTTTATTTTATTGTTAAATTATTATGCCATTCAATAGATTTTGTAATGCTTCTTTGAGAAGAGGAATTGTAATATGTAAGCCTAATTGCTAGGCCATAACTTTTGAAAAAGTGTAGGTATTTAAATAAGAATTGCTCATATCATTCGAATGAACGGGAAAAATCTTGATAATAAGTGCACTCTCAAACGTTTATCGTAATATAGTTAAAGCAGGATAATTAGAGTGAGTTAATGTTTCTTTTTTTTTCGTAGATTAATGTATCTTAATTGCCTAAGCGATATTGTGATATAGTTTTTAGTTTGAATTTCATTCGGCGACGTATTTATTAAGTTGATTATATCGAAACTCCTCAATTTCTATAATTTATCGTTGGCCAGATGTTGTGTCTACTCACTTTCCGATTCGATTTTTCTTAATTAATTTATTCGGTAACAACCATTCTGTCAGTAGTTTTGCTGTCTACCGTTGGGAAATAGAAAGTAGTGAATTAAGACTGCCTTAAATTTTTGCCCACCGACATAATTTTCGCCTGCCTAATTATTTCTGCAATTTTATGTTAATGATCCGCTTCTAGAATAAGTGACTCTAATCATCTCAGTATTGATTATTTACTCATCAAATTTTTGATTCATTAATTGAATTTGAATGTCTCGTCCATTTAGACCTAATTACTTGATTTTTTTTTTTTTTTTTTTTTTTTTTTTTTTTTTTTTTTTTTTTTTTTTTTTTTTTTTTTTTAAGAGGTCAGTTGCTGAGTAGTACTGTTAATCGTGTATCGTTTTTAGACTGTTTGCAGGATCGTGATACAGATAAGTTTACCCCCTCCATCTACTTGTACAGATATTACTATTACTGCGTTTTACATTGGTATACTGATATTTACACAAACAGATGAAAAGGGTAAACTTATCTGAAACAAGGTCCACCTTTTTTGCTTTTAGTTGTATAATTTCAATTCCGTGTGCCACTACTATATTTATTTTTACCTATTTAACCTCACTTGACGTCTTTGCTATATTTTTATACTTGGAAATTTAGTCGTGCAAAATATTCTTCGGTAGTCTTGCTGATTTTGATTTTTAAGAGGGTGGAAAAATGATGAAGAGTCTCTTCATAAATATAATTCAGGCAAGTAAGTAGGTGTTTTTTACGGATGTGTCGAACCGAAATGGTTATAAATATTACATTTTAGTAATATTGCGGATATATATACGATTTTTGTGCATTAATACACACGCGAATCTTATGTTTGTATGCTGCATGATGCAAAAAATATTTGTTTTAAATAGTGCTAATGATGAAAATTACTCTCATTTGCATCAAAATTGTCTTACCTACTTTTAGCTTCCTTGCCAACCTCATACAGCCTCTGAAATCCCCTTGATAAATCTGATCCAGCAGGCTCCTTTTTATGAATTAGGTGGCTTAGACCAAGAAACACCAAAATTTGTGAGACCTCATTCGATTAAGTAATAATAACTGTCTTTTTCTTGAAATGTGTTTAATTTTTCCTTGTTTTGCCATCGCTGAACTGTAATATGCAGTCAAAAATATTGTCTATTGTTTTAATGTTTGCAAATTCAAAATAAATGTGACTCTTGTGCAGAAACTTTATCTTTTTCAATCAGTGTTTTCCCACATTTTTGTTTCCTCAGGAGCGGCATTAATCCATTACAAAAACGTGATAGGCTCGATGTTAACTTACCTATCACGAAAAGCAAAAGTGGACTACATTTTGCAATTTGGAACTATACATTCTAACCCGGTTTAAAAATAACATATGCGCCATTAGTTTCCCTATGTTCATCAGTGTTTTTCCAGAAGAGCCAGAATTTATAGTTCCTAATTGCAAAATGATATCCAAATGAGCGTCTGCCTTTGAGCGAAACAAGAATTTTTTACTACTTTTGAACCTCCGTTCTGATTTTTGAAAAAAAATCGGAAATTGTTACAAGAAAAATTAATAATAATATATACAGAGATCCGTTACGTCTAGTATCGTCGCAGATCGTTTCTCTAAAGTGATTAATTTATTTGATGATGCATTTTGCAGTTTTTCATCAATTTTCTCAAGTTTCCCCAAAAAAAATTTCCGTGTCTCAAATCAGTTTTATTGATTTTTTCTTTTTTCCACTACCAAATCTTTCAATACATCTAATGGGGTATTGCTGACTTTGACCAATAGCCCATCAGTTATCCTGCCTACCAAAAGCACTCCTATCCGTCTTTCAGGGTGAAAAAGAAAAAAAAAATTGGCCTGCGGCCAATTTATGCGCGGCGCTTCGCGCCGCGTACCGGCGCTACGCGCCGGCATTTGGGGGGCTTCGCCCCCCCATCCGCTTAGCGGATTGGTGCGGGGACCGCACGGGACTTTCCCGCTCGAGGCGGCGCTTCGCGCCGGCATAGACGCTTTTACTGGAATATTTAGAAAAATACTGCCAATTTTACAAAATCATAAAGTTTGATTGGAATTTTGATCACAGGATA